TCAACGTCTTCTCCGTGTGGTCCACAGGATGGCTGGCAGGTCATGCTACAAACTCTGCTCTGGGCAGCACATCAGACACACCTTTCAGAGACAGAAAATAAATAACCCCCCGAAAAAGGTGTTGCGCCAAGATGTGAGGATCGCTTTGATCTCAAAGCGAAGAGCCGAGAAGGTCGGGTGTACCTTCCGTCGGGTGGACTGGTGCCCTCGCCTTCCCAGACAGACACACACATGGTCTCACACATATCCAAACTGCGGTGTAATAAATCACGCACACACACGGACACACGCTCACATACGGGCACTTAATGTGCATATATATGCATAGAGTTTGAGGTGGTGTTTGAGGTTCCGACCTTATCGGAAGGTCACTGGTTCAAATCCCATGACTGGCCGAGTGATTTCAGCATTGTATCCTTGAGCAAGTCCCGTAATCCCCGATTGCCCTAGGGATGCTAGCTGACCCTGATGTCTGAGCCTCAATTATTGCTTTGGACAAAAGTACCTGCTAAACAAAGGATGTGAATGTAAAATTATTCTAAGTATAACGAACATACAGGCATCGGTAGCACATTCATGCAAGGACACACATAAATAGACCTGAACTGCAGTGTTGCCCCGGGCATGAACTTTCCACCTCAGGTTTCCTCCTGCTGATCCGCATGTGGGTCCGACGCAGGCGGCGCTGCTATTTCCTGTGGTAGTGCTAATGAAGGACGCTTCATCAAGGCTTTCTCACACCCTCTGCCTCGTCCTGTCAATACAAGCCCCACCTACTGAGGTGCAGCATCCGGTAGTGGTGCAGCCGTCACTGGGAGGGTATGGTCAGAAAGGCATGATGCGTGCATGGGGCGGGGCCACACTTATAAGCCCCACCCACTGAGGTGCAGCATCCGGTATCTGGAGAAGGGTCCAGCTGCAGACGCCTGTAGAGTGGATCTCCACAGGAAACACGTGACCTCAACTCTGTGTTACAGCGAATAAATCCTAACCCTAACCCTAACCCTAACCCTAACCGGAGCTCCACTTTACGTCCTTAAAGATCACGTGTTTCCTGTGGAGGTGACATATTTCGAGTGGAGCTCCACTCTACAGGCGTCTGCAGCTAGACCCTCTTGAGTATCTGAGCAGATTTCACCTGGATGGTGTGGTAGAAACAGCAAGATGCTTGCGTGGAGCGAGGCCACATCTATAGGCTCCGTCCACTGAAATACAATATCCAGTATCGGCGCAGCTGAAAGCGTTGCTCAGAAAGGCTGCCACACACATAAGCCCTGCCCACATGCCAGGTTTTTAGGAGGCCTGATGGGGTGATGCTGGTCAGTTTTGCCCCCTCTTCCATGCCCCCATCATTCTGAGGGATCTCCTTGCTCAATGTTAGGATTAGTGAGCGGGGATAAGTCACTGAACTCCAAAGTGGTGTTTCAGTGTGTTTTTGTGGGGGTGTCCAGACATGTGCCCCCCGTCGTGGGACTCTCCCGTTGTGCGTGTCTGTGTGCGTGTTTCCAGCACATGTGCTCCATGTGCTTCCCGCAGATAAAGCGAGTGGCGGAGTGCAGTTGGCGTCGCTGCACATTTCCGGGGCCTTTGATAAGCGATATGCGGAGGGGGGGGGGGGGCGCCCAAGCAGAAAATTGGAAGTATATGCCGGAGCACTGCTGCGCACTTGGGCTGATTCCACAAAACAAAAATGTAACGAAAAACAAGGCGTTGTGTGGGGGGGGGGGCGCTTTGCACAGCACATGTGTGTCTTTGTGTGTGCGTGTGTTTGACGGTGGCGTGTGCTGGTCCCCATTTCGTTGTGGAAGTTGGGCGATGTGAAGGTCGTGGTTCTCACACTGCGTGTTTGACTGGGCCACACTTGACGGCCGTCTGTCGTCGGACCTTCTGAAGGTGTGCTATTTTCTTGGCCTGTAAGTCTTCCATAGCCTCGTCCACAGGCTTATTGAAGCTTTTCGTTTTTGACTACAGATCTAGCGAGGACGACGGAAGGCGAGTGTATGTCTGTGTTTGGGGTGGGGGTTAGGCTCCAGTTATTGGGTGCCTAATATGAGCAGCATGCTTTTGTCAAGGCTCACTGCCTCCCCACAAGCTCAAGAGGTGTCCCTCCCCCGCATGTTTCAGTATCACTGGAGAAGGTGCGTAGGGAGTGTTCGTAAAGTCGGCTGAGCCGTGACCCCCGACAGAGCCAGAGACAAGCCGCACATTTGAGTACCTCTGGAAAACCCGTGTTTCCTGGCCACATTCAAAAACTCGCACTTTGAATGAAGCCTATGATTTCTTTTTTTCCTAAAGCGTGTTGTGGACACACACGCATTACACGTGCTACACACTCTCGGTCTGTTCCGGTGGCGTCTCCCGCCACGTGGGGGCGGCCGGCTGACCTCCCGTCGGATCACTAGAAATCCGGCAAAGTGCGATTCTAAAGATCTCCGTGTTGAAACATCTGTGCCTTAGGGCAGGAGTAGAGAGGGTACGCTGCCCTCATTGTTGTCTGTTTCAGAGCGTCGACTCTCACATCCTCCACACAGCACCTGCCGCTTCGATTCACCTTCTCTCTCTATGACTCCTCCAGTCCAACCCTCCGTTATTGAGAATCACTCGCCGTCCTATAAAGTTTATCCCATCTGTGTGACGTTTCAGCAGTCCAAGATATAAGCATAGTAATTGGTGGTTCTGTATGAACATATGTGTTGTGCTTTTTGGGACCACCGCAAGCCTGGACTGAATCGGCATTAACAGAAGATGGAAAGTAGTTCGGATTAATGTTTCCTGAAGGTCTTTAACTGTAATAAAAAAATAGATTTACTGCAGTTTACAAGCCATGCAGCAGTGTACAGAAAGTTGTCTATCAGTTAACTTTTTTTATGCGTCAGAGGTACGTGACAAACACCTGACTTAGATTTAACAGGTCAGGTCCAGATGACCAGATAATTAGACTTTGAAAGTGGAAGGTAGCGTGAAGATGTAAAAAATGATAATAGGAGGCTGTTGTAGGAGATTTGCCGGTGGTCCTTTTGATCTTCATGTGGCTGCCATCCGCTTATCAGCGCATCAGCATTTCAGGTGAACACAAGTAAAATCATCCTTAACCCCCCCCCCCTCAACCCAGACACAGATTTCACTCAGATCTGCCCCCAGAGCTGCAGCCTGAAAACAAAACAGTCACAGCTCCCACTAGAATCCCCCTCCCCACCACCCCTCTCCTCTCCATTATTGGGGAGCAGCTGCAGGTTTGGTGAATCCCGCAGGCGGTAGCGATCGAACCCGCTGCTCGGTTGGGCTGACGGTGTGGGGTGTGTGCTGTAACGGGCCGAGAGGAGTGGCTTGCCCATTGCTGCAGGGGTGTGGGGGGGGGGGTGTCTGTCCTGGCTGGGGGAAATAGAGCCTATCCACTCTCCCTCTAACATGGGGCATTAATAATCCCCCCACGCCTGGCACGGCCCCCTTATCTCCAATAATGAGCAGTGTGATAGGAACCCCCCCCCCCCCCCCCGCTGCTCCTATCAGGCCTCGGTGCACGGCCGTGGCTGTCTGCGTACTCCAGCTGCGTGCCGAGTGTGGAGTGTCTGTCTGTGCCGGCCGTGAGAGCACCGCTTCATCTGCGCTTTTCACCCATTAATAATGCTGTGCTGCTGCTTTTTCCCTCTAGCAGCATGGGGTTAAGAGAGTTTGCTTAAAGGTCCTTAACCTCCAGGCCACCTGCTGTCCCGAACCTGTTCTGCGGCTTATTATGCAGCAGGGGAAGGGATCCACGCTCACTTTACAGGCTGACGACGGCCACGCTTGGCGGCTGCGGCCTTTACGTTAGAGCGCACCGCTTTACCCGAATGCGTCACCCTCTCGACGCCCACCTGTGTGGAGCTCAGTCCCACTGTCAGACTCCTCACGGCTCAGCGGTGTGTTGCAGTTGGACTCCTCCTCGGTCTTCCTCCTCCTCCCTGGCTTACCCCCCCCCAGTTGACGGCTCACGCTCTCCCACAAAGCCGACTGTGCGTTAGCTGCGTTTGCAATGGGATGGAAATATTTGACTCAATTTAGCTTGAAAAAGCAAGTCTGCATCCTCAGATTTTTTGACGTAGCATTGAATCGGTGAAAAGTTTAGGGATAGCTGTTGTGAAATGGGGGTAACAGCTTTATGTCGATTACCCTGATTCACGTGTGAGAGTGAATCGGGCCTGAATAAATTGCCCAACCGAAACCACATCGGGTGTCAGGTGACTGCTGGTGTGGGCTCTTCTTTATTTATTTCCCTGTTCCCCTGCGTGTATGGGGCAGGGATGGTGGGGGCAGCTGTGAGCTTCCCGGCAGGTTTAGAGATGAAGGGGGGGGGGGGGGGGCTGTGAAGCGTTCGTGGCTGACAGAGGCTTCTAGGCGCCCGCTTCCCAATTTGCTCGCTGTCTCTTTCGATAGCGACGGGATGTCATCTACAGTCCGAACCGGGGTCCTCTGGGAAGGGGGGGCGGGTTTGGGTGTGGGCTCAGCCGCTCTGTCCGACTTTATCAGGACTGGCTGTCACGGTCGGCGGGAATTAGTGATGTGCCGGGAGCTGACTGTCACACCAGAGTGTGAATTTGTGCCCGCCGGTGTGATCATGTTTGTCTGCATGGGCGTGAGCCACAGACATCTGCGTTGATTCCTGTGAGATTAAGGTTTTACTAAAACATCAGTCCCAAGTAATTTCATTCTAGAACCTACTACAGCTTTTTGATATTAGAATGTAACAACAGAGGATCGTATTAGCTTGTGTGTGTGTGTGTGTGTTTCAGTCCCAAAGAGGGTTATGAATCAGTGTATATTGCAGCAGTCCGAGTAATTGTCTTGAGTAATATTGACAGTGAATTACATTTGCGTCCACAGAGGAGGTGTAAAAACTAATTGTTTTTTAATTAATTATCCTTCAAGACACTATAGCACCTGCCTACTCACCGTGACGCATCTGGTGCAGTCAGAGAGATATCTGACCACTCGGGACTAAACCCCGTCTCTCTTCTTTCCAGCTGCCCCACCGCCGAGTGACGTTTTCCACGACAAATCAGTCGCAGGACCTGCAGGACTCCTCCCAGCACAGCTACTATGACAGCGGCCTGGAGGAGTCTGAGACCCCCAGCAGCAAGTCATCGTCGGGGCCCCGCATCGGGCCCCTGGCGCTGCCCGAGGACCACTACGAGCGGACCACCCCAGACGGCAGCATCGGAGAGATGGAGCACCCCGAGAATGGTAAGGATATACTCCACCCCCCCCAAACTGCCCCTCCTTACACCCCCCCCCCCCCTTCTGTTGGGACTCCCTCGTTTGCCTGCGTTTGTGTCAGATGCTTTAATCCCTCGGCAGCTAATTGGCTGCGGTCCACTGGGGGGGGGACTTGTCACCCATGTTAAAAGACGACAGCAGCTACCAGCCGGGAGGAAGATGGACATTTGTCTGTTTTCAGACCTCTTATGGTTCCCCTTCTGCCTGCCTGGGGTTGGGCGGGGGGGCGGTGAAGGGCACAGGAAGGGTAGGAAGAGCTGTCTCATTGGAAAGGGACAGACAGTGTTAACTCGTGGCAGGGTCAAACAGGAAGCAGAGGAGGGAGAGCTTGATTACCTTGATGATGGAGATTGAATTTGACACCCAGATCGAGTGAGCCTGGCTGTCAGCAGTTTTCCTCTTAGCGCCGCGTGCACACGCGCGCGCATGAGTGTGTGTGTGCCTGCCCGTGTGTGTGTGTGAACTAGGTGTATGCAAGACCGCCTCTCTGCAACCTCTAAGGCAATCTTCTGGTTGCTGAGCTCACTCTCCGTGTCAGGCGGTCCCTGGGAACGCTTGTGAGCTGCCCCTCTCAGACTCTGCTGGGAAATAGGGAACACCTCAGCGCAATGGACCCCCGGATCCAAACCTCCTCTCCCTGTTAAGAGAAAGATGGACGATTTCCTTTATGCCTTCTGTGTCATGCTCCCAGGAGGAGGAGGGAAGATAGAGGGGAGAAGAATTAAGTAGGGAAGCTGGAAGGGTAGAGCCTGCAGGTCCAGCTGTTACTTCTGTCATTCCTCTGGGGAGGAACAGAAACATCGTCTAAACAGGTTCTCACTGGAGTGGTCTCCCATCTAAAAGAGGCTCCACTCCCTCCATGTCCCACACACGCTGCCTAATGTAGGAAAATCGCTATTCTCCTAACCCCCGCCACACAGGCAAGCGCACATTAAACATGAAGAATGAGGTCACAGTTGACTGGAAGGAAGGAGGTCTTCCTCAAGCAGAGCGCTCCATCGGCGCAAGGTGTTCACTGAGGCAGCGTGTGGCCCCGTGTGACGCTAACATGATCGTGTGCTTACATGCGAATGTACGAGCCAGAGCGCACACGCGTGTGTGCGTGCGCTGGCCAGCTGTGCCCCAAGAGTACAAAAAAGCCACTTTTTTTACAGTGATTTTGTGGCCTGTTTTTATGAAGCGTTTCCAGATGGCCCTGGCTGACCCCCCCACCCTTTCGGGGGAAGGGGGTGCTGCATTGTGCTGTGTTGCATGTGTACCATGCACTCAGACAATGAGGCTATTTAAAGAGACGAGACCTCAAAATGGAGCCCTTCCACAATGCAGCCTCAGATGACTGGGCCATCCCCACAGATATAACACTGGAGATATAAATAAGGGCCCCGTGTCGCACCTCTGAGCGCACGAACCTCCGGCGTCAGACATTTGGAGGCTGGGTGTGCAGGGCTGGGGGCGGGGGGGGCTGTTTGAAACAGGGGTAACTGTCTAGCGTATGTACATACAGCAATGAACACTCACTGAATGGCCCTTGCTGCGTGTGACCCCTGACCTCCGGACCCGGCCGCAATCTCAGCCCCGGCTGCTCCACAGTACGGCAGTTTCTTTCGAAGCCACCTGGTTGTACCCCTCTCCCCCACCCCTGCCCTGCCCAGTGCCTCGAAGTGAAAGATCCGATTTTCTCCTCCAGTGTGCACGCGCATTTTTAGCAGGAAGCGGCAGAGAGATGGAAGACTGTAACCGGTTCCCCTTAATTGGATCAGACAGGAAGTCAGTGAGGTAGTTATGAGATTACTCTTGTTCCATTACAGTGAGGAGATGGTTACCAAATGCGAGATGGCCGATGACTTAGGGGTCTCTAAGAACAAGCCTGATCTTTGTCTGAGGCTGTTTCATCGCCTTCTTGTGTTCTTGCCCCCCCCCCCCCCACCATGGCTGTGGGATTGCCTCGCCCAGATAATGGAGCATAATTCTATTAGCCCCACACGCCATCCCTCGGGTGGGAGACTAAGCAGACCCCCCCACAGCGTCTAATGCGCTCATTTCCTGTCTTAATAGACGTGGATGTGTCTGTGGGGAGGGCGGAGACAGCCAGGGAGGGGAGAACAAGAGGGGTAGGGGCGGGCGGAGGAAAAGATGGAGGGATGCAAGAGGGCTGGAGAGAAGGTGGAGAGATGGTGCGTAACAACAACATGGTGGAGTGGTGGAGAGCAGGTACAGGAACAGGTGGAGGAGAGAGAATGGCGTGTGGAGAAATTATAATCCAGGGAAAGAGAACTTCAGAAGGATTGGGGAGGGACCATTCTAGGATTTTTTTTAAGGTGTGGGGGTATAAATGGGACTATAATTCATATGGAAGATTGGGGGTGGGTCTTATGTGTTGTGGGCATTGTGGTCAGGTTTTTTGAAATGGGTGTATAGAAATAGCAGTGTTATGCATCATACGTATACAAGCACATGCTTATGATGTCCTGCTTGTGAAAACTGACTCACTCCTGGGTTCCTCCCTCTGCACTGCCCTCTTGGAATTTAGCCCTAGATTTCATGCAAAAACAGGTGCATAGATGTAGCACCTGTTGAAAATGTAGTTGTAAACAAAAAAGCGGGGTCTCAGGCTGTGATCGAGTGTGTGTGTGTTTTCCACAAGAGGCACTCGAGCAGCGAGCGCAGTGTGGCGGAGCTCGGCGCTGCCTGTCATTGCCAGAGGTTAGGCCGTAGTCACGCGGTGTGGGGGCGCATCTTCACATAACCGATCCCGCGATTTTGGCATGGCAAGACGTCAAGGGGGGGCTTAGTGCTCTTCCTGGCCTCCGAGTGGTCCAGCTCATTAAGCCACTGGAAGCGGCCTGTGTTTTTTGCTACATCACTTGGATGAAACGTGGAGGCTGGTGAACTTCCTGCATCTGTTCGGCAAGCTGTCTGACCCGTAGAAATTCAGGCGCTTTGCGCTTCTGGCAGAGGGTCGGCCTTCCGCTATGGACACTGATGTTGCCGTTCCCATTCTAGCCGGGCAGACAATCCTAGCGGAGCTCCTCTTAAGCCACTTAGCCAGCATTCCTGCCGCGTGGGTGAGCCGCCCGCTAACGGCCGAGGTACAGGAATGTGCCGGCGATCGCAGAAAACGGAAAAATGATTAAGAGTCGGAGTGTCTCTATCGTTGGCGGGGCCTGTCTGCCCGGCTATCCGTATGCGTATCCATGAGATCTGCTGCTGGTCCCCCCTGCTGTCCCACAAAGAGAGCCGTCTAGGGAAGCCAGTGGCTCATTCGCTACAGATGCAGAAAATATGAACGGATTCAAGAATTTCTCACATGGGTAAACACCACCTTTCAACCCCTGTTTACCCAGCGCTCTACACCATCCTTGTACTCTATTAAGGCTTCCAGCAGGACAGGATTTGTTCTGACGGTAAGGAAAACAGCTGTAGGTCAGTTTGAATACTGTTTCCCGTTTGTTAAGTCTCTCAGCCCCTGCTGGGAGCAGGAATATCACTGGGACGGTGAAATTAAACCAATCAAATCTGTACTTTGCATCCAACTGATGATAAAAATAATTATTGTTTTCATAGTTTTCTTTTCTTTTTTTTTTTAAGCAGTCATACATGTTGTTATTGGCAAAGGATGACAACAGGAGTTGGCTCACCGGCGACTGATCGTTATGGGAAAGTGTTTGCCGGGTGAGGAACAAAAAAACAACAGGAAGTTGCAGAGCATTAAAGGAGGCTGTTAGATTGGGAGGATGTGTGAGTGAGATCCACTGTGGTGGTACGGTGGTGGTCTGCAGAGTCACCGGAGAGGACGTGCGCATCGGTGTATGCGGTTCAGTGGTGGTCCCCCCTCCCCCGTCCTGCCACACCCTGCTAAAGAAAGAGGATGTGGCTAATAAGAGATGTGGAGCAGAACAATAGGACTGGGGAGGAAGACCGCTCAACGGGAGAGGAAGTAGGGGCCACGACGATTAATTAAAGCCCGGCTGTGCAGAGTATGTCTGGTCACACAGACACCCCCCATCTCCCCGTCCTGACAGGATCCCCCCTGTTCTCACAGAACTGTGTGCTTGTTGTTGCAGAACTGCGCAACAGACTGTGCGCGTTTCGTTTCCACAAAGCGCCGGGCAAACTGTGCGCGTTTGTTCTTGCGGAACCGCCGGTGCGGACCACGTATGTTTGTTTTCCTAGAACCGCTAAATGTGGTCCGCATGTTTATTCTCGTGGAACTGTTCCGCAAACCTCGCGGCTTCCGTTTTTTTTTTTGTTTGTCCTTTTTTGCGTTCGGCAGTAAAGAAATAAATCAAAACAGCACGTACGCAGTGCTCAGATACAGCTCCCACGTCTTCTTCCCTCTGCCAGTGCGGTGAAGACGAGATCCCGCATGCCTCTCAGCTAAATGTCCCCCCTCCTCCCTTAAAAGAGCATCCCTGATGGAGCCTGGCAGTGCTGGCTGCGCGCCACCCCCCCATACACCACCCTGCCACTCACCCCAGGACCTGCAGCTGCAGTCACAACCCCCCCGATTAGCTGGTGTAAGAGAATAGGCCTTGTCAGATATACATGTGGCATGCATACACACACAGAAACACACACACTTCATATATAACCATAATCCTCACTATAATAACCCTAACCCAGCCCTAAACTTAACAATTAGCATTAACAAAAAATACAAGACTGTTGGCTATTTTAGATTTTTGATTGAATTCACAGATTTTTATGAAACTGAGGCTTATACTGAAGTAAATAGAAATCCGGAAAACTCTCATAAACGCGATGCTGTCTGTGTGTAAACGAGCCATCAATGACATGTACAAATCATATATTTTCCCTTCTGGACACCAATGACCTCAGAACAGCTGTTTCCATTGAAGTTTTTTGCGCAAATTATTTAAGCGAAATTTTCTAAAATTATAAGTATGGTGTCCTGCAAATAATAGTACTTACCACTTGTCATCCGGCAAAAGTAAGACCCACATATT